GCAGGATGATGTACTTTCTGTTATGGCATAATTTAAATATTGAATACAGCATATTTTTTTGGGTTTGTAATATGTTGTAATTAGAAGAGCATGATTATTTATTTATTTATTAGAATTCCATTATTAAATAAATATAGCATGAGTTATTTGTTAGATTTACATTAAAATGCTATTGTATGGAATTTATCATGCTTTGTATATGCCATAGTCAGTGGGAGGTATTCGGTTGAGAGAAATCTTTGTAGAGATAACTCCCGAAAACCAATATTTTGCGCATAAATTAAAACTAAATTTTGGATAATTGTCACTTGTGGCCAAGAGATGATTACGAGCATAGCGCGATTTTCGATCTTGCGACTTGTGTAATATTGCACGTATTTAATATTCTAATTTTTGCCGGCAAAATTCATATTATGCTAATCAAATTAATCCCAACTGCGAATTTCTCTCTAAATTGATTTAGCTTATGAGAAGTTTAACTTTGGTTGACCTAAACTTAGTAGAGATGTTCAAATGTGAACAAACTAATCCATTCTTTAGATGCAGAAAAATCGTTGGAGGAACTTTAAGTCAAACCTTAATTGAGGCCAAATAGTAAAGGAAACATGGACTCAAGTCGCCGTGTTTTTGTTCCTTGTTTGGCACAATAAAAACTAATGTGTGCGCATTAGTTAGCGGCACGCGCTACATAGTTTGGTTGGCGAGTTTTGGAGTATGAAATTAGGTAAGCCCTCAATAAGTCTGTATATGATCTTGACTAATGAGCGGCGCGGGGATTGACTTTTAATTGACTTGCTAATAATGTTTAACATCATTGGATGAAGTAACATTCAAGAGTCTGTCATCCAAGAAATGCCGAGGCTTAAATTAAATTAGTAGTAATGAGACGAGTAGCCAGTACGACGCAGATGTTTTTGCTCTCTACGCCCAATTATGGGAAGTGGATTTGAGCGAAATCGATGCCACTATAATTAGTTGCGTAAAAAATATCACGTGAAGTTAAAGGATTACGCTTAGAAGCTGCAAAATCTATTAACACGTGAGATTGAAAAGGATTAGCGCTTAGTGGCCTGCAAAATCTATTAGCATTGCCAACTTGTCTAAGTGGGGACACTTCAGTGGTTTCGCAACACTTGATGTGAAGACGATGGATGAGGTGCTTCTTGTGTGATTCCTTTACTTAGGCTAACGTTTTTGAATAACATTTACGCACTAAGCGAACGTTGTTTTTCTTTTAATTTTTTTTTGTTCTCGTTTTTTTTTTTTTTTACCATAGTCAATCGAATAAGGTTTAAGCGCAACTGACAGAGTTGTTATGACTCTAAGATATTTAACGCATCGCTTGTAAGAGCATTGTGTGAATTAGGACTCTTTAGCCTAATTCGCGCTTAAGTTACTTCAGGAGCCTTATCCATAGCTTGATAGGGCTATTTCTCTCCTTCTTTGTCAGGATAAAGTAGAATTTAATTGCCAAGTAACTATGAAGCGAGAAATAAGAGATTGAGCAACAGGGAGTATCGTCAATCTTTTCAACTAGATTGTATTAAAGGTGTTATGGGAAGAAATAAATTTTTTGACTTGAAGGTGAGCTAGGGTGATTATTCAGCACTACTAGTAAAATTCGGACCTTAGGGCGCAGTTGATAATCTCCTATGACATCCGATATCCCCCTCGAGGTTTGGCTAAATTATAGATCCCCCTGAGGTTTGAGAAATTACGAATTCCCCCCTGAATGCTATATTTGCATAAGAAATTAGGGGGTAATTTGTTATGAAATATAAACCTCAGGGGGTAAATTGTTATGAAAATACAAACCTCAGGGGGCGGGATGTAATTTCCGAAACCTCAGGGGGGTATCTGTAATTTTGTCAAACCTGGAGGGGTGTATATGTAATTTGCCCTAAATGTAGCCAAAATTTTCGGACCTTTATCATTTAAATTAGGTTGGACACTCCAAATAAGGTTCTTATTAGTTTATTTCTATCACATTACTTTTCTATTTTTCTATACATTTTTTCATAATAAGTAAAATAAAAATAAAATAAAATAAAGAGTCATATCCCAAATAACCCAGTTAATATTAAAGTCAAGCTTGTGTGAACTCAGAAGTCATCATGAGTCTATAGTCTGTCTACTGAGTTATTATCTTATCTTTTATAAATTTTGGAGGAAATTAATATTAAAAAAATTTACCGAAACATGAAAAAGTATAACATTTTAAATATTAAAATTTATACATTTTATCACTGATTTGTATTTTTTTTTTTTTTTCACTAAACACACTTTGCTGTTATTTCTCTTAAATTTTATATTAGTTGTGTGATCAATTAATAGGTTGAAGTTAAATGAATGTATGACCTTAATAATAAAAAGATTGTGAACAAACAACAACATATCATTGACTGAGCACATGAACATGTAATCTTTCTGACCTATTAGCGAATTTTTGCTAGTCTAGATAATTGGCTTTTTTGGAATTTTTAATTTTTTTTATACGATTAAAAAAATGAAATGTAATTTGAAAATAAATTTTTTTAATTGTATCGAAAATCATGATTTACTGAAGTGTTCAACTTTTTTTGTTGGATAAATTACACTCGTTTTCCTTGAGTTTTGGGGAAAAAATAGAATTAATTCACCATTTTGACATAATTGTGTTACCCTCCTTTTTAGTATGGTTATAACGATTTAAATTAATGCTAATGGTCGGTAGACACTAAAATAAACAAAAATAAATATGCATTTTAGTAGAAAAAAAAAAATATGACAACATCATTTTCTTCATAAGATTAACTAATTATTAATAATAAAAAAAGGGTCTAAGTGTCATTTAAATTAAAACATTGAGAGCGGTCAGTATAATTATGTCAAAAAATAAGGGATTAATTGCATTTTTCTCGAATAATAGGGGAGGTGAATGTAATTTACCTTTTTTTTTAGTATTTTTTTTAACTTTTAACTTTTTAAACAACTGTTTGACTTTCTTAAAAAAAAGGCAAGTTTCCAAACACTCCTCAACCTCCTTTGGAATTTAACTTTTATAGTGAATTTTTTAACATTTTAAGAATAAGAAAAACAAATAAGATAAGTTATAAATACACTCCTTGAGCTTTACTTAAATAACAAATTATCCTCTGTGATTTTAGAAATTATATTATGCCTCCCTAGGTTTCTAATTTCATAATAAATAGGTCATTTTATTAATAAATCATTAAATTGATTAATAGTTTTTAATAATATTAAAATTTTGTTTCAATTAATAATTCAGATAATTTTATTATTGTATAGGTGAACAGTTAGAAATTTTACTTTTCAATTAATTCTGTTAAATAAAAAATTCTGACAGAAAAGTATTTGTAATTTTTCAAAATCATGGGGGACAATTCGTATTTTAAGCAAATGCAGGAGGTATATTTATAATTTATCTAAAAAAATTATATATTTTTTAATTATATTGGGAAAGATGAATGACTAGTGTGTATGATTTATATTTTGAATTATGTTAGAGATCCTAAATATTCTATCAAATGTTTTATCAAATTTTTTATATGGGTGTGGGATCGACACACATGTGGATTTATGTGAATCCCACCCTATGTGAGAAGTATGGTAGGATATTTGGTAGAATATTTGAGATACATAGCATTTCTCTTATATTTTTAACAACTTTTTGATTATTCTTTTGAATTTTTTTATCCAAAAAATAAATTATTAAATGAAACGTTTGATTTTATTTTCATTTTTTTAACTTCTTCACGCAAAAAGTCAACTTCATTTTTTTTTTTTTTTTTTTTTTTTTTTTTTTTTGTAAGTTTCTCAAGCCACCGTAATAGATTCCGACTCTGCAATTAATGAAGACCTTGATTTTATTATACACTTTTGGAAAGAAGTTATCAAAAATTTTATTAAATGTTTCACTAAATATTTTATATAGATATAGATTCCACATCTAGATACTTGGTAAAACATTAAATAAAAATTGAATAAAGATTAGGACCCCCTTTTCCCACTCCCTTTTGACCCATTTTCTCTTTTGATTGGTCACTTTTTCTTTTTTTTTTTTCTTTTTTTTTTCTCCTCCTCCAGTCACCACCTGTCACGTGTGTGTGGAGTGGTGGGGTCGAAGTTTGAAGGGGTCTAAATCACTGTTGATAAAATTTTTAATATTTATAGAATTACTCTATATTTTTTATCTAGAAAATACTATAAATTTCAAATAAATTATTAAATTTTCTACCAAACTCATATGGGTATGAGACCTAAACAAATCACATGTGTGTGGATCCTATACTCACGTGAGAAGTTTGATAGAAAATTTGATAATTTATTTAAGGCCTCTAACATAACTTTTTTTATCCTCTTACCTCTCAAAAAGAGATGCAAAAATAATCACCATGTTTGTTTCCAGTTTTTTGAAAACACTTTTAGAAAATTTTACTTTCTTGCTTTTCATATTTTTTTATTTTTATTGAATTTTTTTTAATATTTTAAGTAATTTTTTTAATTTTTAGACACATTTAAAAAGTATAATTTTCATGAAAAAATATTTTAAAAATTCACTAAATACTAAAAATATATTAAAAAAATACGAAAATTCAATATATTTTTCATATTTTTGTTTATTTATTAATTTTTTTAAATATTTTTTTTACAAATATTTTTCTCTGTAGATACATCTCAGCAAATTACATCTAAAAAAATTTTAAAAAAATGTTTAAAATTTTTAAAATATTAACTAAAAACCAGAAAAATATGAAAAATAAAAAATTTAATTTTAAAAAAAATTGAAACCAAAATCACTGAATAAATTTTACAATTTTAGTAAAAAAATTTAATTTATTAGTCGTGGAACAAATAATAATTTCCCCAATTAAGGGCATAACCATCATATCACAACCTCCCTCCTTTTATATATAACCAGCACCTGTCTGTGTACTTGTTGAAACTCTCAGAAGTGTACTGTCTAAAACACGAGTAAAAATTCAGTGTAACGGCGATTTTATTCCAAAATGGCATCGAAAGTCGATTCCACTCCCACCCATTACCATGCGAGCTCTGACAAAATGAACGGTTCGGATGAAGCAGATGTGTCGGAGGAGACGGAGGCGGAGCCAGAGGAGAGGTGTCGGGTGGAAGAGGTGGCGCTGGTGGTGCCGGAAACCGACGACCCATCACTCCCAGTGATGACTTTTCGAGCATGGTTTCTGGGTATAACATCTTGCACACTCCTCATATTTCTCAACACTTTCTTCATCTACAGGACCCAACCCTTGACCATCTCTGCCATCCTCATGCAAATTGCTGTGCTGCCCATCGGCAAGTTCATGGCCTCTACTCTTCCCACGAGGAATTTTAACCTGTTTGGTTGGAGCTTTAGTTTCAATCCTGGGCCGTTCAATATGAAGGAGCATGTGATCATCACTGTGATGGCTAATTGTGGAGTCTCTTTTGGTGGGGGTGATGCTTACTCGATTGGGGCTATTACTACTATGAAGGCTTATTATAAGCAGAGCTTGAGTTTCTTGTGTGCTCTCCTCATTGTCTTGACAACCCAGGTAATTGTTATTATTTATCAAATTAACAACCTTCTTTCTTCTTCTTCTTCTTCTTCTTCTTCTTCTTCTTCATTTTTTCAGATTTCTCTCCCTTTCTGTCTGGGCGATTCTTTAATTTTCATTTATTATACACTTTTTTTCCTTTTTTATTAGTGATGAATAAATATTGATGGCCACTTATTACAGAGATGTTTAGGTGCACAGAACATAGAAAAGTATATACTCCATCCGTCCCAAAATATTAGTCCCTTATTCCATTTTTCATTGTCCCAAAATATTAGTCCCTCTTCAAAAATCAAGTACAAAAATAATATAAATTTCCTATTTTACCCTTCTTTTAAATTAATAAACAACATAAAAAGTACAATTATGCATTGATATTCCCAAAAAATGTACTATCAAAAGGATAATTTTAGAAAATCAACTTTTTTCAAATACAATAATTGTTCTACAAAAAAAGTTGAATTCCCCAAAAGGGACCATTATTTTGAGACAGAGGGAGTATATATATTATGTGTCTCGAGTTCATTCCAAGTTGACATTTGGGTGTGGTTCTATGGTTTAGCAGTTGTACTTTAATGTGTTGTGAGCCAGAGATAAGGGATTCAAGCTGATGGAGCAGCGACAAATTCTTGTGTTGTAATCAAATTATATTAACATACTAACATACTAATGTTATATTTGATTTTTTTTTTTAAAAAAGGTTCATTTCAAGTTGAAAAATGTTATTAATACATAATTTAATAGGAGAAGGATTCTTTCAATCCAAAATCTCAATTGGAGGGGTTGTTTGGACTCGTGGGCTCCACTATAAGTTTTGTTTCAATAATGTGAATCGTTTGTTTTATTGAACATTTTGTGTATTTTATTTACAAAAAAAAAATGAAGTCAATCCAATAATTGATACTTGTTCAATTTATCATATTTTTTATTAAAAAAAATGACAATTGTGTTTTTAAAAAATAAATATATATTTTTTTTTATGACAATAAGTTACGGTTATATTGAATTGATCTAATTTTTTTGTGAATGAAATATACAAAATGTCTGATAAAATAAACGGTTCGAATCATCAAAACAAAATCCGTAATGAACCCATGGTTCTAAACAGCCCCTTCAGTCCAAATCTTCGATTGGAGGGAATCCTCTACCAATTTAATGATAGCAACAATAATATTTATGTAAGAGTAATGGAGGAGAACCTAAAAATTCTATTAAAAAATCTACCAAACGTCTCACATGTTTGTGAGTTCCACACTTATGTGAGATATTTAGTAAAAATTTTGATAAAACTTTTGAGATCTCTAATATTTTTGTTTCTATAATTATGAATCAAAGTAATAAGCGTTTGATTTTCAATAAATGACTGACTATAAATGATACATGACGTTTTATATGATTTTTTTTTTATATAAGAGTTTGTTTAGAAATTGACTTTTTTAACTTTTTATAAAAAGACATATAAAAATAAAAAGAGTGATTTAATAATTTGATTTGACTTTTTAATTATTTTATCCAAAAATCACTCCCCAAAGGGGTTCTAAATACCATTCGTATAGTATTACCATTCCAAGTTTAGTGTGATCACGCTTAAAATAAATTTCTAATTTGCAGTTTATATACATTTTTGTGTTCTAATTTTATATATTATTATTATATTTTGCAACATAATAGTTAAAATTTTGTAAAGAGACATTTCATATATTTTTTAACATATATTTTTTTTAATATATTCCAAAATAATTTTTTATACGAAGCTGATAACCGAGCAGTCAATAGCAACTTTACCAAATTAAAAGACTGGTCTTTTTGCTTCCTTCGATTTTTTAAAATCTATTTCAAACTTCTTGCTTTTGTGCTTTTTGACGTTTATTTTTTATTTTTGGTAATTTTTTTATATATATTTATTCACATATACTTTATATTCTAAGTGCATCTAGATTAAAATCTAAACAAATAATTTATTTTTTATATGAGAAGTTTTGAAATGAAGATTTTTACTTTGGAAAATGTTTGAGAGTCACAATTTTTGTGGTCACAATGACTTAAAACTGTCAAAACGACGTCGTTTTGGGTGCAAAACATGCCAAAACAACGTCGTTTTGGCAGTTTTGAGCCATTGTGACCACAAAAATTGTGACACTTTGGGATTGTTGTTTTACTTTTGTGAAAAGTAGATTGTTATGTGAATATTGATTTGGAAAAGAAATTGATTTGAATTGAAGTTTGAAGTTTGAGATTGAGATTGAGATTGATGAGATGATAATGGTGCATGCAGATAGTGGGATATGGATGGGCGGGGATCTTGAGGAGGTATCTGGTTGATCCTCTTGAAATGTGGTGGCCTGCTAACCTTGCTCAGGTTTCTCTGTTTAGGTCTGTCTTCTTCATTTTTTTTTTTATTTATTATCCTCTTAAATATTTCAGTTTCAAAAAATTAAATGAATAAATTATTATTTATTTTACCATTTAAGTCCCACACACTTCTGTAATTGGTAAAATATTTGCTAGTTTAGTTTCTAACTGTAGCAAAATCTTTTATGCTTTATGTCTTGGAAGTTCTATTTTAGGAGATGGTTTGTTTTTTAACTTTTTTAGTTTGGCCCATTTTGTTTGAACTTTTTTTTTAAAAAATAATGTCAATTTTTTTATTCTAGGCTAAAAATTTAAAATATGAACTTTTCTACAGATAAAAATAAAATAAAAGGCCAAGTTTTTTTAATTTTTTATTTATAAAATTTGGCTTATTTTCATTTTTAGTGATTTTTTTCTTTTCAAAATTGACTCGAATTTTTTCAATTTTTAAATTTGTCTAGTCTGAAAGGTATGGCTGCAAACGAGTCGAACCGACCCAAGTTTTTGAATGTTCAAACTTATTTACCAACAAAAAAAAAAATGTTTAAATTTGTTTGCTAAGAATTAATCAACTTTGAGTTTGAGCTGAGCTCAAGTCAAACTTAAATAATCAAGTCCAAGTTTGGCTCGTCAAATATTTGAGAGACTCGAGCTCAGCTCAAGCGAACTTGATTACATAAGCAATTCGACCTCACTCGAGCTTGGAAAAAAAATTTAGTTTACTCAACAAGATAATAAAAAAAATTATGAACAAAATATACAAGAATATTTATATTAATAATAAATTTCATCAATTAAATATTTAAATTTACACAAATACCAAACACAAATAGAAAAATAAAATAAATAAAAATTTACTTGATATATTATTAAAAACAAATATATATATATATATATTTATATTCACGAGTCTTATTGAGCCAAATTTGGAATTACTCGAGTTCAAACTTGTTCATTTAATAAACAAATTGAGATTAAACGAGTCGAGCTGGAACTGTTCATGAATAGTTTTATTCAAAAGTTATTAAAAAAAAAAATTGACTTAAAAAGTTGAGAAAACAATAAGTCAAAAAAATGAGCTGGTTTTAGTTTTCATGAAAGCATTATTATCAAACTGAAAATTATTTCAAAATTTAAAAATAGAAGTAGAGATGTAGAAAGGCACTAGTCATTAGCGCATTGTAACGATGGCTGGCCCAACTTTTAAGGGGTCAACTCTAAAGAGAGCCGTTAACTTGTATGTCAGATTTTATTTTTGTTGGTGTCTTATTTTATTATAAAAATGATTTCTTGTTTAGGTCTTGTGAATTTAATTCAACCAATGGTCTCAAAAATAATAAGTGGAACACTCGTCAAATAATCAAATATTTGATTTCTATGATTTTGCCATCTTGCTTTTGCTTTCTCTGTATTTCTTTTACTTTTTAGGGGGATGCACTAATAAATCCCAAATTAATAACTTATACATTGTTTAGTCTTAAAAGTTTTTTTATAGACTGAAAGGTCCCATTACAATGTTTCAAACATCAAATTAATGTTTCGAACATTAGATTTCGAACATCAGATTAATGTTTCGAATATTAGATTCCAAACATCAGATTAATGTTTCGAACATTAGATTGATGTGCAAATGGGACTAAATGGAGCATAAGAAAACTTTTAAGACTAAATGATTCAACTTTTTAGAAACTAGGACTTATGGGTAAATTTTCTTACTTTTTATGCTGTTTTTTCAGAAAACTTGAAGGGCAAAACATGATAATCTCCAGCATTAATGTTTAGTTGCTTTTGAAAAAGAAAAAAAATAAAACATATACACATACATATATATATAAGCAAGTTGATATCAGTGGGTCTAAAAAAAAAAAAAAAAAAAAAAACCTTTGAATTTTATAAAATCTATTGTGAAGATTCAATCATGGGCTATTATATCTACTGTTAATCTCAATTTTTGACCAATTTTTATTTTTATTTTTATTTTTCTTACACTTTTCCCGTTGATATTAATCTTTGAGATTGGCTTGTTTCCCATCCCAACTAGTACAGTTTGATCACGTGGGTAGCCAGAGGTGTTTGTTTCAGCTTTTCAGAGCCAACTTATGGCTTTTAGTTTTGAAAAAATTATTTTGAACTGTTTGGTTAAACTTATTTCAAACAGCTTCTGATTCTAACAACTTATTTTAACTCAAAAAAACTGATTCTGAGAAATTGCTCACCCCTTTGCTTCTGATTATCAGCTTCTGCTGTGGACTTGCTAATTTATGGTTATACTCTTAAATTTTTTTATTTTTTATTTTTTTAAAAATAGAAAAAGACTCAAATGGACTATAGATTATTATTATTATTATTATTTATGAGAAATGTAGACAAACAAAAAATAAAAATTAATTGAAAAAGCTATTTCACAGCTTATTTAACAAACACTACTCCGCAATTTAAATCTATAATCCAACAGCTACACCAAACAGATTAACAACTTCTGATTAAAGTCATAATCTATAATCTGTTAAGCTATAATTTATAAGCTGTTTTAACAGCTACACCAAACGGGGCCACTATAGGTCCTGTTTTGATGATTTAAACTATGCATTTTATCAGACTTTCTATGCAAATTATTTGTAAAATACATTTTAAATTTAATTTGATAACTGTAGTATAAAGTAATTTGTGGTTTGTGGTTTTTCAACTAAAAAAGTCACAAAAATTCCAAAATGTCATGTGATACAAATCAATCAATTATTTTTTTCCTCACAACTATCTATTCTCGGAAAAAAGTATTTCAACCATACTAACTTTTTTCGGTTCATAAAAATGCTAAAAAACAACTAAAAAAGCCAAGTTGTCAAATAGACATATGTGTCTTCAAATAAAAAATGACAAGTACGATTTTAAAAATAAATCATTCATTGATAGACAAATATGATAAAATCATGGGAAAACTATATACAGATGGGAGAAGGGAAAAAAAATTTCAACACATGGGAGGTGCAAATGGGTCTGTGGTGGGGTGCAATGTGTTAGTAATTTTTTTCTCCTTCTTTCACCGGTATATAGTTTCTCCTAAAATCATATGATTACAATCATTATAGTAGAATCCGTGATGGGTCATGAGGCCCCAATTCCACCCAGGCACAAAGAAGCTGTGCTCTTAATGTTTATGGAGAAACCAGTTGAATCTTACAAATCATAGTCTCACACAAGTTCATTGTTTCTTGACCTTTCATTCGTTCAAAGTGGGTAATAATATAGAATTCTCTTTCAAGACGCCAATAAAAGGAAACCAAAATAATGGAAGATGAACAAAAACAAAAATAAAAACAAACAAAGAGTTGTAGTATTAATTTAGTCTTGTTATATACTTTCTTGTTAAGTTTGATTAACTCAATTTTTATTACATCAATAACTAATTTGTTGTTGTTGTGACAGAGCATTGCACGAAAAGGAAACGAAAAAAAACGGGTTGACCCGGATGCGATTTTTCCTAATATTCTTGGGAGCAAGCTTTGTGTATTATGCATTTCCAGGGTATCTGTTTCCGATATTGACATTCTTTTCATGGGTATGTTGGGCATGGCCTCACAGCATCACAGCTCAGCAGATAGGTTCGGGTTACCATGGACTCGGTGTGGGTGCATTTACGCTTGATTGGGCTGGGATTTCAGCTTACCATGGCAGCCCCCTAGTCTCACCCTGGTTTTCCATTCTCAACGTTGGGTTCGGCTTTATCCTCTTCATATACATCGTAGTCCCTATCTGTTACTGGAAATTCAACACTTTCGATGCCCAGAAATTCCCCATCTTTTCTAGTCAGCTCTTCACTTCTACCGGCCAAAAATATGATACCACCAAGATCTTGACTCCTCAGTATGAGCTCAACATTCCAAACCCTATCAGAGTTATGGCAAGCTCTACCTTAGCCCGCTCTTTGCCCTTTCTATTGGATCAGGATTTGCAAGATTCACTGCAACCCTCACTCATGTCGCCCTCTTTCATGGCAGGTATATTTATATATGAAAACTATATGATACATTTTTTGGCTAGAGTTCATGACAATTTTTACTTATCCATTCTGATATGCATGTAATGAAATAATATTTGGCTTGGTAGTGATATATGGAAACAAAGCAAGTCAGCAATGAAGGAGGTGAAATTGGACATCCATGCGAAACTGATGAAAAGTTACAAACAAGTGCCGCAGTGGTGGTATATGGTGTTGTTAATAGGTAGCATTGCGCTATCACTGATGATGTCTTTCGTGTGGAAAGAAGAAGTGCAGTTGCCATGGTGGGGAATGCTCTTTGCTTTTGCCTTGGCTTTTATTCTTACCCTTCCCATTGGAGTCATTCAAGCTACAACCAACCAGGTAATATTAAAAAGCAAATTGCAAATTGTATCTTAATTAGTATTGACTAATGTCTTCAAATTGATGCGACTTGACTTCTATGTCTATATATGTATGTTTGTGCAGCAACCCGGATATGATATCATTGCCCAGTTCATTATTGGGTATGTCCTGCCTGGGAAACCCATTGCAAACTTGCTTTTCAAGATTTATGGGCGAATCAGCACCATTCATGCTCTCTCTTTCCTATCTGATCTTAAACTTGGACACTACATGAAAATTCCACCAAGGTCGATGTACATGGCTCAGGTCTATACTCTACTTAGCTGACTGGATTTTTTTTTTTTTTTTTTCCCTCACTAGTGAGTGACACTTGTAATTTGACCGGGTGCGTTTGTTTGTTTGTTTTTCCATATTTTATTTTTGTTTTTTAACAGCTGGTAGGGACACTAGTTTCTGGTACGGTAAACCTGGGAGTTGCATGGTGGATGTTGGGGAGCATCCCGAACCTGTGTGATGTGGGAGCACTCCATCCAGAAAGCCCGTGGACATGCCCTAAGTTCCGAGTCACCTTTGATGCTTCTGTAATATGGGGACTCATTGGACCAGGTCGACTGTTTGGACATGGAGGCTTGTACAGGAACTTGGTTTGGTTATTCCTCATCGGAGCTCTGTTGCCTATACCCATTTGGATACTCAGCAAAATCTACCCGGAAAAGAAATGGATTCGCTTGATTAACATCCCCGTTATATTGTATGGATTTGCTGGAATGCCGCCAGCAACTCCCACCAACATTGCCAGTTGGCTCATCACCGGAACCATCTTCAACTATTTCGTGTTTAAATACCACAAAGGATGGTGGCAGAAATATAACTATATCCTCTCTGCAGCATTGGATGCTGGGACAGCTTTCATGGGTGTCCTCTTGTTCTTTGCTCTACAAAATGAAGGAAAAAATTTGAAATGGTGGGGCTCCGAGCCTGACCACTGTCCTCTCGCCACGTGTCCCATCTTCCCCGGTATCGCTGTTCAAGGCTGCCCAGTTTTCAAGTGAAACCCATTTGATGGCATTAGAGCTTAGTTGTAGTAGGCTAGTTGTGTGTCGTCTTTAGGGGGTGTGTTTTGTGCTTCATTGTATACCATTTTCCTTGTGTTTTGGCAATAAAAAGTTTGCTTATAAAAATATTTTTTTTAAAATGTCTGCACAATTGCTTTGCCTCTCAATTTATTGCAAGTGCAACCTTATTGGTATGTCTAAGAGGGTCATCTCTTACTCGTAAGGAGAGGGTCCCTCTAATCTTCCTTTTTATCCTGTTTACCCATTCTACAACATCACCACCACGTTACATACTCTTTCCGTCTAGATCATAAGCATAAATATAGATCAAGAAAATGACAGAAAACCGGTATTAGGGCTTGATCAAGAAAATGGATTTGGCGATAGAGGGGAAGGTTGAAAGGTTCAAAACAAGAAATGATAGGAAAAACAGGGGAAATTGTTTTCTAGCAAGCAAACAAATGTACATTTTACACATTCAATGAGTCACCAAGGAAAGCGCATTAAAGACATACGTTCCGACCCAAAAGATATCAGTGCTCTTTTTCTGCTTCTTTACCAATAGAAAGAGAACTACAAGTCAGTAACATCCAGCATTGCAAAATCACAAAGTGATTCTATTAAAAAAAACTACAGTGAAATAAGAGCTCAACAGTACACAGGAAGAATGTCTAAATAATTCTATCAGCCGAAAAACTGTCAGCCAAAAGGTGATCAACCATTTGCATTATGTCACAAAAAATTCCAAAGTTTACCATAATGGAATTTTTTTCTCTGGAATTAACTTGAACCACTGGCATAACAACTTACCCTGAATAATTATATCAATTACATGAAACGAACAAAAACTAGCATCCATACAGAGTCAAAGCCTTTTCTTTTCTTTTCTTTTCTTTTTTCTTATTTATTTTTATTTTTTACCTCTGAATGTATTTGTAGAGTACCACCGTTGCATATTTAGCTACAAACCGATGTGTTGAACCGAGTGCCACTACGGATGGGCTACTCCTCCCTTTCTGCATGTAAAGATGGTTAAGCACCACATGCTGGGGTCTTGAAAAAGGAGGTGGAATCTCCATGAAGGAGGTTGGAACATTGAGCAAAGTCATTTGTAGATGCGGAGGAACTAGTGGTGGCTCCTTTGCAAAATCCTCAGAACCAAGTTGCAAGTTGTTATAGGTCGCATCTGGGGATTGAGGAGGTTCAAAACCAGAAATGCTTTTGATGTCTTCTGGTACATAATCCTGCAATAAACATATAAGTAAACGGTTAGTTTTAAATTTGAGATCTTGTTTCAGCTTGCGATTGTTGAGCTTATCACACAAAATCATGTGCAAAGGATTATAATGAATGTGTGACTCAGTCAGCCATCTCAAATAACAAAATAATTAGCAGTCTCTAGGTGGCTGAACCATTAGGCCACTTAGTCCATCGCCTAAGGCCCATTAGAAAATTTTGAAAAATTATTATTGTGAAAGGCCCCAACTTTCCAAAAATTTAATTAGATAAGGTCTCATTTTAATATTTAGTCTGATGTCTCCAAAAACATTGGGTCACTACTGTATTTGAGGCTTAAAGTTTTTACCCAAAGGAATTTTGTAAACCAGATCAATTTTTTTTTGGGCCTTTCACACTTGAACTCACCAAAAAGGTGTGTTGTTGACATATAAGGCCACTTGCTTTGGATGGTATGTCAGTTCACATATTGGAGCACCAAAGGTATAATGCCCCACTATCTGTTGGCCCACGGAACCTGTGAGTCTACCAACATACCAAAGGTATAACTCCCCACCATCTGCTGGCCCAAGGAACCTGTGGGTCTACCAACATACCAAAGGTATAACGGCCCACTATCTGCTAGCCCAAAGAACTTGTGGGTCTACCAACATGACCCAAAAGGGTAAGCCCAAGTTACTTAGTAGCAAGCTAGTGGTGCCTTATATGTCCAAGATCACTCATGCAAACTTCCGATATGGGACGGGGTCGTTACAAACTCCCCCACTTATGCAAACTTCTGATATGGGATGGGGTCATTACAAACTCTCTCACTTATAAATCCTCATGAAGGTCCATACGCCCCGCTACTTGTTGGCCCAAGTAACATGTGGGTCTACCAACATGACCCAAAAGCGCAAGCCTAAGTTAGTAGCAAGCTAGTGGTGCCTTATATGTCCAAGATCACCCGTGCAAACTTCCGATATGGGATGGGGTTTGTATTTTTATTACATTGTTGACCATCAACTCATAGCCTAAGCGGTTAGCCAAACACGTGCAAGTATTTTTCTACCCTGATACCATATTAGATTGTTGCTCATCACTCATCTAAAAGCTTAAGCTGTTAGGGAGACGGTCAACTTTATTATTTATATTATATTCTCAACACATCCCAATGCAGGAGAAGTATCAAGCTCCAAAGGCCACTCTGGCCTTCATTTTTTGAGTACTGTGATGGTTTGCCTAGGTTGGCTGAAGCAGGGACACACATAATTATTTGCATCCAGGATATATACACAACATGGTTCCCAAATCAGGTATCAGGAATGTGACATCAGCCTCCTATAATCTTACTTTTGGGTGGTCCCAACACAAGATGAGCACTTCAAATGGATTTGGCATGGCAACATGCTACCATATACCAGACCACTAAGTGGCAAATATCCATGAAAACACTTTTTGTTCTAGGGTCAACATCCAAATAATCTACCCATGGTCAAGTTTAACTATTACAACAGAATCCAAGGCACAAAGGGAGAGGTGGTTGCCCACTTGAGACAGCTAGATGCCTAGATAATGGTATAACTTTTTATATTTTGTTTTATTTGCAGATGGCTAGGAAGCACAGATACTTTAAGGTAGTGTTTGGTTCACTGGAATGAAACGGAATGGAATGATCATTCCATCAAAATGTTCATTTCCATGTTTGATTGACTAAAAAAAATAATGACAAAATGTATTATAGAGTAAACAGAATCATCATTCACCGTTTCAAGGGAATGGTCATTCCATATGAGAGCCTAACTGAGGAATGATCACTCCATTCCATTCCAACTCATTCTAGTGAACCAAATAGAGCATAAATAGGTTGAAGTATCCTTATCTAATACACATCAGGTACATATCTTTGATATTATTTAATTGCTAAACACTACATATCCTCAATAAAATATAAAATAGCCTCCATTGACATGCAGAGGAAGGACTCGATTCATGTTGTTACAAATGCATGGGAAATGAATACAGAGGGATAATGAGAAAGAGAGATTAAGATGCATGGATATCCATATGTGATATCGTGTCAGATACACGTGGATACATATCCTCAATATTATTTATTTAATTTTGTGGCACGTGGACATGTATCCTTGATAAAATATTAATAAAATTATCTCAATTGGTGAACATTAGGACTCAATTCTTGTTGTTAGACAAAAGAATGCATGTGGGAGAGAAATACGAATGAGATGGCAAAAGAGAGCCCAAGGCATGTGAAGGGGTTGTTTGTGTGCATTTATTTATTTATTTTTATTTTTTTTAGGCTGGGTGTGTGAACTTTTAAGGCAGCTTATCTGCTACTATCATGAATGCTTTCCAAACGGCATTTCTATGTGACCACACGTTGCATGCTCTGAGATTTTCTAAATCATTTTAGCATTGTAGGAATTTTTCGTATCCCACCCGCACTAGCGGAAACACACAAAAACACAACACATTTACATGGTTCGGCCCAAATTGCCTACATCCACGTGAAATGGCCAAAACACTCAAAACTTACACTACTAACCCAAACCCCAAGCTCACCCCGGTGCCCCCACGGTACTTTTTCTCACCCCTTATATCTCTATTTTCCCACACTACTCACTCGCTAAAACCTATAGCCACCATGGCTATTAATAATAATCTATCCATAAAAAACCTATTTATCATACAATTAGGTAACCAAATCTTATACATAGAGTTTTCCAATAAATTCTAGACACTATTATCCTAACCCAAATACATATATAAACCAACCTAATAACTGTATAGGACCCACATATATCCTAGTGTAGAGGCTAGTCCTAACAACCATGAATCTTTTCATATAAAAGGAAAACAAAGTCTATTTTATTGACCCACATTTTTAACTCATTGACTTTGCTATCATACCCCCAAAAAAGGAAGAGGCGCAACCAAAAGAAGAGGGAGACTTCTTATCAGATTGCAGATTTGTTTACCAAGTCTCACACTCGTGCTTGGCATGAATTCTTGGTGGGCAAACTGTTTTTTTCTTTATGGAAAATCTCATACCCATTTCTGAGACCCATAATATGAATTTGTTAGTTAAAGTTAAAAATTCAAAAACAATTCCACGGTGCATATTTAATATTTAGTAATAAATTAAATATCTCTAATTTACAACTAAATGTATTTATAAATTAATTCCCTAAAAACATTATGTAGGAATGTATTTTTCTAAAATATATAAATTAAAATTAATTTCCCTAGATTATTTTTCAAAACAATATATAGGCCCCCAAATAATAATAGCTTATATCATGGAATATAATAGGCATTTATGGTCCCAATAAAACTAATAACTTTCATAAACAACGCCCAATTAGTACACATTAATGTGTGTTTACGAGGAGAAACATTGGGTACACACATAACCTTTAGCATAGTGCACAAAGTGGTTGTCCCGTGACTTGAATCCATAACCTCAAGGTTATTAGGCCAAGGTTTTACCATTCGACCAATGGTTACCCCTAAACATTACCATTAAAACTAATGACTTTATATACATAAACATTAATGTTATGACTACACATGGAAAAACCTAGGGTAAGGGTTTCAAAAATTATTGAATAGGTAAATCACTTAGCAAACTTTTGTTGCTTTAATATTTTTATGTTAATTACTATGAATAACTTTGTTATAATATATCATATTGTCAGCCCCAAGGTTTTCAAAGGATTATATAATTGATTTTGATGATAACAAAGCCTAAGTGATTATGCGTATAATAAGTTATTGTTAAATTTAAAGATGATTAAAGATAGTTTAATTTGTAGAATTGATTGGAACAATATTCTCAATTCGAGTTAGCTCATGAAGAAAGAGGAGCAAGCTCAAAGTATATTGTACTGAATAAGAATCGAATGAGAAATGAAGGAGCCAACTCAAATCTAGAAAGAGCCAGCTCAGAGCTTACTAGATTGCAAAAGAAAATTCTCAGAATTTTCAGGGTCAGCTCAACATAGAGAGGCGGCTCAAAGTGTTCTGCAAAGCAGATTGTTTAGACACAAAATCAAGTATGAAGAGTTTGAATTCAAAATATATTGAAGGATTTGAAATGAAGATTATGATTGGATTTGACACACAAGGAAAGATTGAAGAATCAAAGGGATTTGTTTAGAACTTTTCCAAGACAAATTGCAATGTAATGATATTCAAGAAAGGAAGCTTAGAGACATAATTTGAATTTGAAGATTCCTCTAGTCTGCTATTTTAAACTGGAGATATGCATGAGAAAGGAAAGCATGGAATATTGGATTAATTGAAGAATACAGAAATTCAAAATTCAAATTGCTCTCATATGGAAAGGTTCAATATAGAAGAGGAATTGATTTGGGAAAGAGAATCAATCCTAACAGCTATATTTTTGAAGCTCCAAAATTCATAATTTTTAAGCTATAAAAGGAGCACTCTAGCCTCAGTTGAAGTACACAACAAAACACAAAAGAAGCAATACACATTGGTGATATTCAAGAAAAGCTCTCTGTTATACTGAGAAAGCTCTCCACTAGTCTTTATTGGGATATACATTTTTGAGTGAGATTTTGTTGAGAGTTGAAATTTTATTGTAAAAGGTTTTGCACCCCCTTCTTCTTACTCTTGCAAGAGTATTTTTTTGTGAGTGGTTTTTGGAATAAAATCAGTTGAGATATGTGTGACTAGGCACCGGATTCAAAACGTCATGATCTTTTTGCGAGTCGTTTTTGGGATAAAATCACTTGGGTTAGGTGTGACTAGGTACCAAATTCAAAACTAGTCGGCTTGAGTGATCAGGAGTTGATCATTTGTTGTAAAAGTTCACTAGCACCTGTAAAGCTAGGGATTGTAACGTTATTTGAAGATAGTGAAGAAATTTCCGAGAAAGATACTTGGGGAGTGAACATAGGCTTGGATTAAGCTGAATCACTATAAATCGTGGTGTTGATATCTGTTCTCCTTTATCTTATCATTGCTTATATTTTCGTGTGAT